TGGATGGCGTCGGCGCAGGCCTGCGCCTTGTTCTCGAGGCCTGCCTCCCTGCGGGCGGCTCTGGTGGGATGCCGCGTCGCGCGCGCGCATTTTCTAGACCGCGCCCGCGTGGGCAAGTATGCGGGCGATGCTAAATGTTTCGCGTGAGTTGCTGCGGAGGCCGATGCGTCGCCAACGCGCGATGGTCTCTCGCCATTGGCAAGCGCCGGTGCATCGCGACGTGCATTGATGGACAGAACGACCATGAAGGCCGACGCATCGCCATTGCATCGAGAGGCAGGAGGGGATTGCACCGCTTGCTGTGCAGGTTTTTTGGGGGGGCAGGGGGGCGTCCTCCTTCCCCCTCCTCCTCCCCCCCTTCCTCCTCCCCCCCTCCTCGCTGCCCTCCTCGCCGCCGCCTCTGGCCCCTGGATTGCCGACGCAGCCCCCTCCCCCATGCCGACCCTGCTGCGTAGCCGTTCGCCCCGAGGCCCCATCGATGATGGAACGCAGCCGTTCCGAAGCCCGCTCCCGTTAGGCCCCTCAGGGTTGGAGAGGAGGAGGAGGAGGAGGAGGAGGAGGAGGAGGAGGAGGAGGAGGAGGAGGAGGAGGAGGAGGAGGAGGGGGGGGGGTGGGGGATCGCGGGGGAGAAGGCGCAGGAGGAGGTGGACAAGGAGGAGGAACGGGGACGGCAGGGAAGACAAGGGCATGTGTCAATGAGGCTCCAGAGGAGTCTGCCCTATTCCATCGGGAGCGGCCAGATCTACTCGAACGCCTTCCGAGGGTGTTCGAGAATCCGACCTTGCCAGCTTTCCCAGATCTGCAGCCCTGGGACAGGGCGCGACTGTTGTGAAATCAGAGGAAGAGGGGGAGGCAGGGGGAGGAAGACGAGGAGGAGGAGGAGAGGATGAGGAGGGGGAGGAGGAGGAGGAGGAGGAGGAGGAGGAGGAGGAGGAGGAGGAGGAGGAGGAGGAGGAGGAGGAGGAGAGGTGAAAGAGGAGGGGGAGGGCGAGGACGAGGAGGAGGAGGAGCAGGAGAGGGGGGGAGAGGGCGGGAGGAGGAGGAAGAAGAGGAGGAAACCTGATCGCAGGACTACCTGAAAGCAGCAATCAGCAACCTGGAATATGAGGCGGACCTTGAACGCACTAGCGCTGAAGAGAAGCGGCGACGGGAGGAACGGCGCGGCCTCCAGTAAAGCCGCGGTTGGGCCATGCGCATCGCCGATGCATCGCTGAAACATCGACGGGGGATGAGGGCGAGAAAGAGGGTGGGGCAGCGAGAGCAAACCCTGCGCCTCCTTCGCCCTGCTGTTGCGACACGGCCAAGACGAGACAAGGGCGC